AACCTTCTTCACAGTCAAGGTGTCCAGACTGTGGAATAAACTCCCTCCAGAGGTGGTGCAATCACCTACCCTGGAAATCTTCAAGAGGAGACTGGACGGTCACCTCACTGGGGTCACCTGGCCCCAGTTGTCTTTCCTGCCTGGTTCAGGGGAGCTGGACCCGATGATCTTGCGAGGTCCCTTCCAGCCCCTTACAATCTATGAAACATCCTTAAATATTACTGAAGCTCTTTGACAGTATAACAATAATTACATTATAAACATACTAATTCATCAATGCAATAATTTATCAATTCTTTATTATACACAATACATAATTTATTTTGTGTTATAACATTACGATGGAATGATTATGCTATTATAATATCTTATAATATTCTAATTAAATTGTTATAATGGAGTTAAATCTGAAACCCTATTTTAACAACCAGGTACACTGACCTGAATAAAACAAAACTAGAATCTCTGCAAAACTAAAATGGATGATCATAAACATCAGATATAAACTGCCAAGTATAAAGAATCATCTAAACTCAGAGAGGAACAAATATTTGGTCAACATAAGTAAATCCTTTTAACACCAATGTCCAAATGCAAATCACTGTCAGCTAATTTCCTAAAAATTAACAATAATCATAAGAAAAATTCTCACCAAAAAGTTATAAGGAAAAAACTGTGCATTGTAATGGAAAAAAGGAAAGATAACAGTATGGCATGTACTATACAGTAACTTGCAATCAGATGAAAACTAGACAGCAGTGACAAATAGACCCAGGGGATTAACCCGTAAAACACAGCATATACACGAATCTTAGGTGGTACAAACCCACCTCTGACATTGACCGCTCAGATATGTATGTCTTTTTCTTATGTTTTGTCAGCAGCTGAATAACTTGTCAGGACAATAAAGACTCATTGAACTGTTAGGAGGCACAGAGGCCAATCCCATGGAAGACATTGGATAGCAACAAGCATAGAAAAAGGGTAAGAGTACAAGAATCCACAGACAAATAGCCTTATTTATTACAAAGTCCCTACCTTATCCAGTGTACATGTTGTGCACTGAATCAGGCAGGGGTTCTGTAAAAAAATTAGCCCATGATCATGTAGTTAAATATTCCGAAGGGCACAAAATTAGAGCTACAAACTCTAACTTAAATTTGGCATTTTCCAACTTGTGAGCAATTCATTCTGCATTCTTGATGATGTTCTAAATTAGCTTTTTACATGGACTTTCCAGATTCTTAAAAAAATAATTGAGAACTCAGACTGAGAGCATGTGCACCAATTTATTTGTTAGACCAACTGTTATTTGTCAGTCCCCTGGATTCAGAAAGGACAAGCTAGGAAACATAATGCCAATCCATCCAGCTGTCAGAGGTTTTCTAGTGCATGTGAGGATTGTGCATATAACTCATTACGTCAATTTTGCAAAAAAATGATTCAGCCACTTTCCCTGCAATGCCACTCGTACTCCTGTGGTATACGTATGGTCTGAGACTTCTCCTACAGTTCCTTAAACCTAGTGTGCTTTCTTGCAAACTGGCAATGTGTCACGGCTTGAAGAGGTCAATACCTCTCATTTCACAGACACCCTCACTATCTGCCCTGAAGCCAAAGATTCCCAATAATTACTTTGTATCTGGCTTGGAACAAAATGGGACTTCAGTAATTGTACAGCACACATTTTTGGATGGCTTCATTTTTCCTGTGTTACAAACAGGAGCTACTTAGACACTTACACACTGGCCATGTAAGCAACATGGCCAACCCAACAAAGCTGTAACAACCAGATCACTGCCAAACCTTTGGATTGGATACTTAATCCCTGAGCCTTAATCCATCAGTGGTTGTCAAGTTCCCTCTTATCTCCAAAATTCTTGCCTGAACACATAAAAAGCAAAACTGTAACATGTCCTCCAGACCTGCCAATAGCTGTGGCTGATTTCAGTACGTGAGAAACAATTTCCTAATGTTACCCTACATCCTACCATACATGTCCTTACCAGAGAAAGCAGATGTCAGCTTTCCATATAACTCTGTACAAACCTGTATGCAATTCAGCTGATCAATATTCATGGCTGTGACACTGAAATACTTAGGCTAAATTTTCAAAGTTAGCTTTCAATAGGGTGACCACATCATTTTTAAGGAAATCTAGGATACTGCCTCTGCCCAATCCCTGCACAGCCCATCCCCCACATCCAGCTGCTGCTCAGGAGGAGTCAGACCAGGCAATACAGGCAGAGTGATGCCAATTCAGGACTTTTGTTTCCATTTCCTAGCTTTGAGTGAATTACTCAGTGACCTGGGCAGCAGTCAGCTTCTTGTATGATATGAATCATGACATTAAAGTTTTTCTGTTAAACAAAGTCATCGGTCAGCAACTTTTTGGAGCTGGAACAACCTGGTTTAGGACTAAGGCCAGCTGGTGCTCCTATCTGGCCATCTCCACTTCCCCTTGCTACCAATTCTCTCTGCTGCACTCCTCCCCCTCTCTGCCCAGCTGTGGTATAGGCACAGCTCTTAGGTACCAGGCCCTGGTGATGCCAAAGTCCCCCACCTCCATGGGCTGGATCCAGTGGCTTGTGATCCCTGATGTAGCCAATCAGGCATTACTGATGGGATGGCAAATGCATTCATGATGCATTCTTCTTACCTGCTTGCCAAAAAACATGCACATGGAATTACCAACTCATGCCAAATACACAACTACAGAAACCCATACCCACTGGCACTGGCCTTTGCAGTGCTGTAACGTCCAATAAATGATACCAGGTTGAAAAATCTTTCCTGATATGCACACTGAAGTCTCCCAGGAAAATGATTCTGACTAATTTGGGAGTTGCAGAGGTAATCTTGTCAAAATCCCACAGAATTAATCTACAATAAACAGCATGGATACATATATACTTATCAATGTAGCATGTCACCCTTAGATCAGAGTGATACATATGCACAGCAACTATCACTGATGCTTTCTGAAAAGGTCAGACTGAATAGTGAATTTGGCTCTACAAAGGCACAATTCCTCTTCCCCAACTGCTTTTGGTTTGCCAGGCTGGTCTCACTCAAAGCAACAATAACATTACAGTGATTTGATTCTTTAGAAACAAGCAACAGTTAGCTTCAGTTCTCTTTAACTATGTGCAGACATTCCATGAGATTACAAAAAGACTACACAATTTTTAATGTTTTCAGCTGCAAAAAGGGTGACTCACCAGATGCAGCTATCTGGTCAGCTCTTCTCCAAATCTGACCTGCCTGGAGGGCACTAAAAGGAGATTAAGCTCTCACCAGCTTAGTTTCTTGGGTCAATGAGGCATATAAACCCTTCCACCACTGAAAAGATTGATATTCTAAGGTAGGGCTGACCACCTTGGGGGTTGCCCCTGCAGCCACAGACTCTCTGGGACCCAGTGTGCTATCCCTAGGGGCAGGGGCAGGGGCAGGGAGCTGAGGAGAGCAGGAGAGCTCAAAGATCCCAGGAGCTGCTGTGAGAGTGGTAGGAAGAGTGGCAGCCAGGCAGAAGTTTGCAGGCCAGGTGTTAGTTAGCCCTTCAGGGGCTGCAAGTCCTATGGCCCTGATCTAAGGGAAGACATAGACATCCACAGAATATTCTAATAAGGATTCCCAAATTCAGTTTTTGGGTTTGAAAGAGATATGTATTAGTGGTTAGAGTAAAAAACTATAGTAGCACTCTTGTGTACTCTTTCTTTTTTAAACACCGTTCAGTATTGACATAGTGAATATTTACTCACTGTTCTCAGAGTGCTATGTGAAGGAAAGACATGCAAAAAAATTATTTTCTATGGTCTTTAATCCTAAAGGCCATAAATTTTCTTCCCTCTTCCTCACCCCCAATGAAACCTACATTTTCCCTTCTTGAGCATCCTTGTTGTATAACCTCTAACTTATAACTATTGTTGTCAACATCTCCCTTTTTCTTCATTTGTTAGTATGCTTATTTATTTATTTATTTTACTTATCCTTTAACTCACTTCTTGCTTAAACAGGATGTCTGTTTTAATAAATTCTGTCATGATGGCTGTTATATTTTGGGGCTGTCATGAAATAGACTTCAGCAACTTCCAGCTATCATTTATATTTAATTTTTTCCCCTCACTCAGTTCTGCTCAAAATTGTTTTAGCTTTGTGAAACTATTGCTCTTAATACACATTATGCACAGAGATAGCAGTCTTGGTCTAACACTTCTCATTATGAGATACTGTTTTCAATTTCTTATAGCTTTGCCAGACTAACAACATAGGCTGGAATTTTCCATTTAGGTATCTAAAGGGTTCAACCATTTCTGAGAATTATGCTAGAGAATAACAGCTGTTTACTCAAGGCTAACAGGCTACTTACCTGCCATCCAGCAACAAAGTAGAGTAATAGTACCTACTGCAGCAACTATGCCAGGAGAACTGGTCCTCTGTCTTTTCCAGATACCAATGTAATTTTCATCAGTGTATAAAACCAGCGCAAGTTATATAGTGCTAACAGGCTTTGTGTCTAGACCCAAGCAACCCTGCCTGGGTACAGGAACAATGAAAAGATAATCTCGATAACATCTAAGATTGGTGCTGGTAAACATTCTGGAAATGATAAATGTTATGTAAACACATTTATACTGGCTGATCTGGGAACATTAGAATACCTGAAACTTTAAAAAAATCATAGATTATCATATCATCAAATGAAGGTTCATACAAACAATTTAAGTCACAATTCTATAGACAATAGTAACTATGAAAGGATTATGCATCAGGATTGATGAACAATGTTGCCAGGACTATGCTGTGGTTAAGAGGGCCACCAAGATCATTGGATGTACTGAGTAAGGGCAAGGAGATGGTATTACTTCCATCTACCATGTTGGTGAGACATTTCCTGAAATAAGAATATCTTGTTTTGGAGCAACCATTTCTATTATTCCTCATCTCTCTGAAAATAAAAGGTTAAAAAGAATATTGTTATTCATCTTGCAATGCTTTACCTGAGTTGCAGCAACAACAGTAGTTACAGAAGGTGTGGCTGAAGGTGATAAAGCTCCCACTTGCTGCAAGTGACTGGAAGCCTGCTGAGGTAAATGAGAACTGGAAACTGGAGTGCTAGATCCTGAGCCAGATACTGCATTTGGAAATGATACTGCTACATCATTGCTGCTATAAATACCTGAAAAAAATACAATAACATTTATATGAATTAACTTCTGTTCATGAGCAACAATATAAAATTTTCTATAGAAAATGAAAGTGGAAAGTTAATAAAAGGCTCAAGTCAAGACTATTTAAATAAGACTACAGTGGTTGTCAAATTTTTAGACTCAAGGCACCCCTCAAAAAATACCAGGTGTTAGCTTCTACTCACTCTTTGCCCACAGAAAACTTACAGATTCTTCTGTTGCAAACAGAAAGAGAACAACAGACCCAAAGTTTTTGATACTAAGGATTCCTATTTGAAATCTTTGGGTTTACTTTGTGAATCATGCATAAGTGTTTGCACACATAATGGTGCTAATATTGTACAGTACTCTGCAGTACCCTTACAAGGACCTCATGGAAGAGCAGGGTGCGGTGGCACCTTGGATGAGAATCACTGCTCTAAATTCTACATGATTTCACTGATTCAGTTATAAATATCACTAAAATGTACACGATAAATCAAACTATATTTGTGCACAGTACAAAATGGTCCAAGTATAACAGTACAATTTACTGATAAAATGTTTGCCTTCTACTGAATCTGCAATCTGTTTAGTAATTCAGTAAGCTACAGTAAAAATTTAAATTCGTTTTAAATGAGTGCAACAAACTGAAAGAATTAAAAATAATTTTCTGAAATTAAAACAACCATCCTTGTATTATAATTTTCTCTTTTTTTAATGGTAAGTGAATTCTTGAAGTTAAAAGGAATTTTCTATGCATTTTTTTAATAGAATTAACAGCAATTCTGAGAACAAAGTGGTCAGATTTGCTTAGAGAAGTAAATGGTTGACAGAATGGTAAATGGTTGACAGAACTGATAAAATGAATAAAGAAAGAATAAAAAATGAATAAAGAAAGAATCAAGGGGAGAATATTTAACTTCTGGGATTTTTAAATATGGTACAATATATCATATTCTGTCAGGGCCTGAAGCTGTGGAGAACTCAAAGGTTATGCAAGAGACTGACTGGCAAAAGTGAAAAACAGACTGGGATTTGAAAAAGCAGAAAAAAACTGACATTCTCTTTCTGTCTATGAATGAAAATGAAGAGGGAGAGGACAAGATCTATTACTTTAGTCTGAAGGACACCTTAAGTAACACAGGAGACTGTCACTGTCAAGAGATTTAGGTGAGAAGGAACTTACATTTCCATTACTTTGACTTAAACATATCTGAAAATTTTCCAAGGCTACCCTGAAATAGCCAATTTAATTTAATGATTCCACATAATCCTCTCTTCCATAAATCATTTGGTTGTAAAAGTGATATTTTTTTAATAAAAGTTTACATATCCAAACAAAACATAATCTCTTATTTTTTTGATAAATTATGCTGTTTTGCATGTTTAAATTCTAGTTCCCATCCTTAAACAGCTGCTTGTTATAAAAATCATGAGCAAGGGTTAATTATCTAGTAAACAGATCAAGCAAATAAATTCACAACTTTGTAATATATTAAAGTAGTTAAGAATCTAAAATTAAGAAATATAATTGCTTAAATAAATGTATACAGGTACAGTGTACCCACAGAATAAAAAGGTATCAAATCTAGCAAGAAGGCTCTATTTGGTTGTAAATCTATATGTTTTAATCCTAATAAAACAAATAAGAATGCAGATCTTTAGAAAATAAACTTAAATACAATTAGAAAAGTTGATTAAAATCAACAATTAAAAACCAATGTTTTCCAATTAATTATTCAAATCAGGATTTAAATAGCTGATTTAAATCAGCCTACTCTGACAGTTGATTATGTTAATGTTTTATCCAGGCTCAAGCTTTAATAGTTTGAACAAGAAGAGTCCACACACCGATGATAAACTACTGTTTCTGTCTATCTACACATGAATTATAAGTCCTACAAATCATATGGACCCAGGATTGTGCAGAAGACACCCCTCAGGCATACAAAAAGTGGGCACTAAGACACAAGCAGTGGCGTGCCTTTCTTCTTTCCTGATCACTCCATGTGGCCTTGGGGAAGAACTGCAGCATACCTTCTTTACTTTATTTTTTTAAAGCAAAGACCTTCAGACACATTCAGAGAACTTTCTACAGTTTTGACTTGACTTTCTCTGCCCGAGGCTGATTGGCGGTTTGCTCCAGCCCTCCCACTCCTGTGTAATTAGTTCATTACAAAGCAAAACCAAAGGAGGAGTTGGTATTGTGGCAGTTTCCACCCAAAAGTTTACTGCTTAGAGCACTGGCCCAGGAAAGATTCCTGAGCTATATGACCTCCTCACCCTGCAAGGACTAAAATTCACAGCTCTCACTTCCTAGAACCATGCCCTAACCACCAGGTTGTGGGCTAGCTGTATGGGAGCCCCTTCTACATCTCCAGTTGAAGCTGACCTGGTAATCAACCATGAAGCAAGATTCAAGGAGCCGAAGAGGGATGAGGGAGCCTGACTCTATACAGCCCAGTGAAGTGGTATGAGAGACCTAACTTCAAGTCCCTACCACCAGGATTCTTTCTGCTTTTTAACCAATGATAGTTTATTTAGCATGGGGTGTATAAACAGGCCTGGCAGCAGAGAATAAAACTGCAAGCAGACTGTTAATGCAAGCAAACTGTTAATGCATATGGCGTAACAAAATTTAATTTTATTAAAACACCAGTAATAGTTTAATTTGCCAAAGAAGCAAGAGTAGGCTTTATAACAAAGTAAAGCTTCCCTACTTGTTGATGATGCAAAATATGAAAGGGAGATGGCCTCTCTCCCAGTATACTGTTACAGCCTTAAAAGAGCCCGAGCATGATATCTTTACACTTACTATTGCCTTACTCCCTGAGAAGTCCCACTGACTCCACTGGGACTAGCTGTACAGTAAGTTACTTTTTCATGAGAGTGAGGGAAGGAAATTTGGCTCCTAATTTGCAGATCAACCTTTGAGTTACACAGCATTTCAAACACAACTGTATGAAATCCATATGAAAATAGTCTTTGTTAATTAAAAAAATACCTAAAAACATCTGGAACACATTAAACCACCATGCTGTTTGTTGGGGGGCAGATAAATACATCAGTGCCTAAATCAGCAGATGGTAATAATGAAGGACCTGGAAAAAAATAAGCATAAAAACCACAGGGCTTGGAGGAGAATGCTAAAATAGGTGAAAAAGCAGACACAACACATACAAGCCAAAATTTATGGAAAGCTAAACATCACTGGGTTTTGTGACAAAGATTAAAGTTCCACAAAATATATGTAAGTTTCTGATACAGGGAGTCATCTTGAGAGAAGGTGTAAAAGCTTATAAATTGACTTCCTGCACATACATAACTGTTCAACTACTGAGATCCACTGCATGGAAGCACAAAATGCAAAACTTTGTTCAAAAAGTTATTATTAGTAGTTATTCATCAAAATAACACAACACAAAAGTTTGACTGCTTCCACAGTTGCTAAACATGGCTTCATATGTTACGGTTAGTCCAAAAAGACCTCTGAGGAAGGCTAGAAGTGGCCTTATTCTTGCATTAGCTATGCTATTGCAGCGAGATTTTATAGAAGCAATGGCAAGAATGTGCCTCAGAAGTGCCTACATAAAGCAAAGGGTTTTTTTTTTACCAGGTTACATGGGTCAACTGGCAAGTTTGTAACACTGTGAAAGTAACAAAAACTAGCTATGCCAGATGTTAAACCTCTGCTCTCTTTCCTAACTATCAGTAGTACATTTGGAATCAAGATTACCTAACTACTGCCCACAAGAAATAAGTTTAGGAATGATGTTGATCAAAACACTCATATTCAAATAAGAAGCTGATGCAATGTGATCATGCAACAATTTGAAACTTCTGTATAATACAACAATTATTGTGAGCCATTAAAATGGTAGGCACGTCAAGTTGAGGCTCATGCTGTTCATAGAATCACAGAAAATTAGGATTGGAAGGGACCTCAGAAGGTCATCTAGTTCAACCCTCAAAGCAGGAACATCCCCAATCATATCATCTCATCCAAGGCTCTGTTTAGCTGGGGCTTAAAAACATCCAAGAATGGAGAGATTCCACAACCTCTCTGGGTAACCTGTTCCAATGCTTTACTACCCTCCTACTAAGAAAGTTTTTCCTAATATCTAAGCTAAACTTCTTTTGCTATAACTTGAAACCATTGTTCCTTGTACCATCATCTGCCACCGAGAACAGCTAGCTCAGGGGTGGGCAAAATGCGGCCCGGGGGCCGGATGCAGCCAACCAGGCCATTCTATCCAGCCCGCAGGGCCCCTAAAAAATTTAGAAAATGAATATTTATCTGCCCTGGGCTGCCTGTCATGCGGCCCTCGATGGCTTGCCAAAACTCAGTAAGTGACCCTTTCCCCAAAATAATTGCCTGCCCGTGGTCTAGCTCTATCCTTTTTGTAACTACCCCTGCTATTAAGCCTCCATTCAGTCTTCTCTTTTCCAGTTCCCTCAGCCTCTCCTCAAATGTCACTGAGCCAGTTTTCTATCCACCTTAAAATCCATTCATCCAACCCATACTTCCTTAGTTTGCTTGGGAGAATGCAGTGGGAAACTATATAAAAGCCTTGCTACAGTAAAGATATATCACATCCACTGCTCTCCCCACATCCATAGAAGGTTGGTCAGGTATGACTTGCCCTTGGTGCATTCATGCTGACTGTTCCTAATCACCTTTTCCTCCAAGTACTTAGAAATGGATTCCTTGAGGAATCCATGATCTTTCCAGGGACTGAGGTGAGACTGACCAGTCTGCAGTTCCCCAGATCCTCCTTCCCCTTCTTAAAGATGTACCCTTTTCCAATAATCTGGGACCTCTCCCAATCACCATGAGTTTTCAAAGATAATGGCCAATGGCTCTGAAATCACATTGACCAATTCCCTCAGCACCACTGGGTGCATCGCATCTGGCCCCGTGGACATGTACACATCCAACTTTTCTAAATAGTCCCTAACATGTTTTTTTCCCAATGTTGGTTGGTCTCCTTCTCCCCAGACTGTGCTG